GGGGGGGGGGGGGGGGGGGGACCTGGAGGAAGGGGCCCCTCCATTCCTGTTGCCCCAGCTGGGAGCTGGCAGAGCATAGGGGGGCAGCGCCACGCCGTAGTTACACAGCACGTGGCAAGGGTGCGGCTCACACCCTGGGCTGGGTACCGCAAAGCGCACAGAACAGTCAGCGCCCTGCTCTCAGGGGACAGGCCCGACGGGGGTCTCGGGGTCCTGGAAAGGACCCAAGCTGGCTGCCGTGTCTTGCAGGCAGAAAAGCCCTGATTGTGTTGGCCCACGAGGAGACAGCCTCCTTCAACCACGCCATGAAAGATGCGGCCGTGGCAGTGCTGCAGGAGGCCGGCTGGAGCGTCACTGTCTCGGACCTCTACCAGATGAAATTCAACCCCGTGCTATCCCGGAATGACATCATGGGTACGGCCCCTGCCACGCCCCCTAGGGTCAGCCTTCCTCATCGCCACACCCCGGCACTCACCTCTCTCTGCATCCCCAGGGGAGCCAAGAGACCCCAGCAACTTCAAGTATGGTCCTGAGACCGCCTGGGCCTGGGAGGAAGGGCGGCTGAGCAGCGACATCGGCGCCGAACAGAAAAAGCTGGAAGCTGCCGACCTTCTGATATTCCAGGTACCATCTCGCCCTGCCCTTGGCTCGTCAGAAAATCTTTAACAAGGTTCCTCACCAAGGACTCTTAAGCCAGTTAAGCAGTCATGGGGCGAGCGGGAAAGTTCTCCATGGATCCGTAACCGGTTAACACAGGGCAGTTTTCACCGGGGAGAGAGGTAACAAGCAGGGCCCCCTCCAGGATCTGTACTGGGACTGGCGCTGTTCAGTGTATTCATAAATGATCTGGAAAAAGGGGTAAACTGGCAGGTGGCAAAGCTTACAGACAACAGAAAATGACTCCTTTCCAAAGAGGCTGGAGAGAGGCTGTTCTCAGTGGTGACATGGCAAAACAAGGAGCAATGGTCTCAAGTTACGGTGGGGGAGGTCTAGGTTGGAGATTAGGAAAAACTATTTCCCAAAGAGGGTGGGGAAGCACTGGGATAGGCTCCCTAGGGAGGGGGGGGGGAAAATCTCCACCCCCAGGGTACGTCTAGACTACAGGCTTTTGTCGACAGGAGTTTTGTCGACAGATACTGTCAACAAAACTTCTGTCGACAAAGAGCGTCTACACTACATTGAGTTCTGTCGACAAAGCAAGCTGCTTTGTCGACATGGCAGTGTGGACGCAAAGGACAGTTTACATGCAATAACACCTTCTGTTGACAGAAACTCTGTCAACAGAAGGCGTTATGCCTCGTAAAATGAGGTTTACCAGCGTCGACAAAACTGCTGAGTTCTGTCAACATTATGTCGAAAGAACTCAGCAGTAGTGTAGACGCAGGTATAGTTTTGTCGACAAAAGTCCACTTTTGTCGACAAAACTCTGTAGTCTAGACACACCCCTAGAGATTAAGGCTCTGCTTGACAAAGCCCTGGCGGGGTTGATTTAGTTGGGATTGGTCCTGCTTTGAGCAGGGGGCAGGACTCGATGACTCCTGAGGTCTCTGCCAAACCTAGGATACTATGACTCTAGAATGTATAGCCCAAAGCAAACCACGAAGAGTTACAAGGGTCTCCCTAAACTGGAGGAAGGATCAAAAACATTTTATTTAAATTCAGTGCTTGATAAATGCAGACTAAGGCACATGGAAAATCATAACCCTAACTCTACAGATACATTGATAAGGTCTAAATTAGCTGTTACCGCACAAGAGAGAGATCTTGGAGTCGTCACGGGTAGGTCTCTGGAAACATCCACTCAATGTGCAGTGGCAGTCAAAGAAGCAAAAGGAATGTTAGGAACTATTAGGAAGAGGGTAAGACAAAAATATGATAACGCCACTATCTAAATCCCTGGTACACCCACACCTGGGATACTTGGGAGGTTCTGATTGCCCCCATCAAAACAACCCCCCTGCATTTGGAAAGGACAGAGAAGGACAGCGCCTAGTTAGGGTACAGATCAGCTTCCATAAAAGGAGATTAGAAAGCCTGGAACTTTTCAGCTTGGAAAAGCAGCAGCCAGAGGGGAATATGACAACGGTCTATGAGATCACAAGTGGTGTGGACAATGTAGGTACAGACGTGCTACTGAGCCCTTCCCAGAACACAAGAACCAGGGATCACCCAGTGACATTGGCAGGGCAGCGGGTGCAAAGCAAGCGGCAGTGTTTCTTCACACAGGGCACTGTCAGCCTGGGAAAGGCTGTGTCGGGGATATGATGAAAGCTAGAAGAACTAGTGGGTAAAAAAATAATTAGCTGAGGGAATTGTTCTCCTTGGCCTCTACCGATAGGACAAGCAGCAATGGGCTTAAAATACAGCAAGGCAGGTTTAGGTTGGACATTAGGAAAAACTTCCTGCCTGCCTGTCAGGGTGGTTAAACACTGGGATAAGTTGCCTGGGGAGGTTGTGGAATCTCCATCCCTGGAGATACTAAAGAGCAGGTTGGACAGACACCTGGCAGGGATGGGCTAGATGGTGCTTGGTCCTGCCCTGAGGGCAGGGACTGGACTTGATGACTCTCGAGGTCCCTGCCAGTTCTAGCATTCTAGGATTCTATGTTCATGTGCTGCCGTCGTGCTACCTTGGAAACCGGAGAGTGGCAGCCCTTCTCTCTCTCTCTCTCTCTCTGTGCCTGATGACAGTTCCCCCTCTACTGGTTCGGCATGCCTGCCATCCTGAAGGGCTGGTTTGATCGGGTGCTCACACAAGGATTTGCCTACTCCCTTGCCAAGATGTACCAACAGGGGCCCTTTCAGGTAGGCGGGCGTGGTCTGGTACTCATGCCACGTTCTCACGTCGAGGGGTCTGTCTCGAGTTGAAGCCCAGCTCTGATGACTGCAGAACACGTGCCCAGAGCAGATGCCGTCCCTTCCGACGGAGACAGATGCCGATGTCGCAGCTTTCTGAATTATCGCACGTAGGAGGAGAGGGAGGACTTGCACCTGCAGGGTGGTTCTGTACCAAAGCCGAATCTAACTGCAGCTGAGAGAAAATCCAGAATTCTGGGCGTGGGATGTTGATTTTTCTGCCCCTAGTTACTGGCAAGCCGGCTGCTCTATTCCCCTTCTCAGATCTAGGCTCAGCAGAGCCTGAACCAGTGTAATGCTGCTGGCATGGCATCCAAATTCTACCGTGGGGGGAACTGAAGGGGGCAGAACTTTAGGAACCTGCAGTGCTGGGCACAGGATCATCGCTGATCACTGTCCCCTGCACACATGGCTAGTGCCGGACCTCAGGGAGCTGACAGTCGGAACTGAGTTGCCTGGAATTCCCGAGACCAGCCGTGTCCGCACTGTCCCTGCGCTGCACCCCCCACCCCTCCCCCTGGACGCTGCTGCTGCTCCCAGCCTGGCTCCTCGCCAGCAATACAAGTGCAGCCAAGCTGGGGCTGAGATGCAGCGGTGGCCGCTTGACAGCTCCATGGGGTGACAGTCACTCACCCCAGCTTAGCTCTGCTCCTGCTGCCTCTCCGGGGGTGACTCCCGCCGGTTTTCTCCCGCAGACGAAGAAGGCCTTGCTCTCCTTCAGCACGGGCGCGACCAGCCGCATGTACAGCCCTGCGGGCGTCAACGGGGACATCAACGTGCTCCTCTGGCCGCTGCAGGTACGGGCGGCAGCGCTGGAAGCAGCAGGCCACAGTCCTGGGCCCCCTTCCAAGGAGGCTGCGTTTTCCGCCAACGGGAACGGGGGAGAAAGAGGCGGGGGAGGGGGCTGTGGGCAAGGTTAACTGCACTGGATGCCACCCTGGAGGGAACAATCCTGCTTTTCCCCCTGGGAATGTACTCGATGGGACGTTCCCGCTTCCAATGCCGGTGGCCCTGGTCGTACGGCCTGAGAGCGTGCAGGGAAGCGAATGGAGCAGGAGGGAGCTGCGGGTCTCGGCTTGGAACCTCAGAGCAAGGAGTGTCGGCTCCCAGCCCCGCTGAGTAACTCAGGAGAGGTGCTGGGGATCCTTGTAGGGCAAAGGGCTCGTATCTCCAAGCAGGCTATTTTAACGTACCCCAAGGCGAGCTGGCCCACGTGTGGAGCATGGCTCTGGGGCCCTGGAGCAGGCTCGTGCTGATCAGCTCAGCAATGCCAAGTTCTCCTACTAACGTGCTTCGTGGGCTTCAGGTTGGCTTGGCTGTCCTGGGTACAAGTGTGTCGAGTTCACGGCTGCCAAGCCCGGCAGGCTCCCCCGGGTCTCCAGCTCTTGGGGACTTCCGGGGGCCAGAGGAGG